AAAAAAATAAGAACCAAGATACTCATGTAATGGTACAAGATCCCAATGATGAATGTAATTGTATTTTATACCTAAAATGTACCAATAAACTTAATGGGAAATAAATAAATAAACTCAGAATGGTATGGTTTTAAAGCAGTAGCAAAAGATATTTTGGAGCAATTCAGCCTTTCATTCAAAAAATATTGGTCATTGAGTTCTACTGTATTTGAATATTATTGTAGGTTTTTTCCCTTGCATTGTTCTTCTTTGAAAGGTTTTGATTTCTGTATGTGTGTGTGTTTGATAATAAAGTTATTTTTAAAAAAAGTAGGAAAGAAGACAGAGAGCTAAGCTTATATATAGCTTGTTTGATCTTGATAGTGAATATTTAATTAGCCAATTTTTTCATTCTTGTGAATCAAAATATTTTAAAATTAAAGTTGACTATTTCAACATAAAAAAAAGATTATGTTGATACATCATTTGTGTACACTGAGGCCCATATATAATTAACATACATATACTTATGTGTACAGAAATTTTTAAAAATGGACAGACATCAATATCAGGGTGGAGGTGGTGAACAGAATGAATGAGGAAGAACTTCCACCTTATCTAAATATATCCATTCTTTCTAAAATAAGAACTGAAGTCCACATGACCAAATTTTAGTCTTTATTAAATTTGAGTAGTTGTTACATCAGGATGCATTGCAGTATTTTTTGTACATTTATGTGATACATGTAGAGATAGTTAAGTTTAACCTGACAATGACACTCGCAGTTGTGCAACTAGAGACTTTTCTATGGAGATTTTTTTCTCTGTTTTTAAAGCATAAAACTTTCTTGTCACAGGCCGGGGATTTAGCTCAATGGTTCTGCTGCCTGCCTCGCAAGCGCAAGGACCCGAGTTCGATCCCTGGTACCAAAAAAAAAAACCTTCTTGTTACACAACTGAGATTAGTGGCTAACTTGACCAACTCCCAGGGTCAGAAAAGTTAGCGCAGAATGGAAAAGTGAATTACCAAACTGAGTGTCAAGGTGGACTTGGTTCTTCTGAATATCAGAAGTTACTTGCACTTCAACTATACTGGCCCCTCTGTTGAACAGGGTAACAGAAGTAGCCCGGCTCAATTGAGCTGGAAGCAAAAACTGGGCATCTGGCCGTGGACTGCTTGGAATTAGCAAGTAGTGACAGATGCCTGCTTGGACAGATGTGCATGGGTGTGCCCCCTTTTGTGTGATTCACATCATCTCTTCCCGACATGAAAGACGCATGATGGTTTTATGACCAGAGGCTGTTGATGGAGGGGCTGTGAGGATACACACAGTCCTGTTCCGCAGGCTCCCCTTTCTTTAGTTCCATGCCACTGGGCAGGAGTGACACACCTTGGGCAGAGATTTCATTATGTGTGTTCTTTTCAGATGAAAATTGGAGAAACCCTCACAGACATCGAGTTGACCGGGTTGGTCCCCAACACGGAATACACTGTCACGGTTTACGCAATGTTTGGGGAGGAGGCCAGTGACCCTGTCACGGGACAGGAGACGACACGTGAGTGAGAGAGTCAGTCAGCCAAGGGGCTGTGACAAAGCCCAAATAAATGTGGGAGTTCTGAATCGGAAATACCAGACTGGGTCAAAATGTCCTAAGAGCTCGCTGTAGCATAGGAAAATGCGTATTTCACTAAGGGGAAGTCCACATATGTCTTCCGTCTTGTGTGATTATTACAAGTGATGCAGATGTCAGAACTGGACCTTAGCATGGTCCAGATAATTCCACCAGTGTCTTTGTCTAAATCCAAATGCTAGGTCTGGGTGGAGGGAAGGGCTCTGCAAGAGCCTTGGAGTCACAGCAGTGGAGAGATGGGAACCTCAGGCGGAGCCATATTTCAGCAGGGTGGGGATGGGCTTGTGTGGTAACATTTTTGAGTCTGTAAAGGAGGAACAAAACTTACAGCATGTGGTTGGTGTAGAATTAAATACAGCACCACACGTGAATGCACTTAGCACTCAATATGTGTTTTCCACTCATCAAAATTAAGACATTTAAGTGCAAGGTCCCAAGTTCGATCCCTGATACTAAAAAAAAAAAAAAATAAATTAATACATTTTAGGGCTGGGGATTTAGCTCAGTAGTTCTGCCACCTGCCCTGCAAGCCCGAGGACTGGAGTTCGATCCCCAGTACCAAAAAACAAAATTAATAAACTTTTTCTAAAAATTTTTGCTCTCCTTATCTGAGCCCATGTAAATTTTTATTGGTGAGGCTAATTTTGACTTATTTTTTCTTGTGGTGGTGCTGGGGATTGGACCCCAGACTTTGTGCATATAAAGCAAGTGTCCTACCTAAGGCTCATTCTGAACTAAATGTAGAGAACTCATATTTTTAGGAAATGTCTGTATTTATCTATTTAAAAAATAATAACAAACAAAAATACTACTGTGGCACACTAACAAGGTTTACCATATACTGTTAAAAATATGGCTGTATCCATGACCTTTTGAAACAGAAGAAAGTGGAGGGAAGCTCGAGGGCTGGCTACCATTCTGCGTTTTGGGAAGAGAGGAGCAGCACCACTTCCACAGGGCCTTTAGCTTGGAGATTCTACTTGGGAAAACATGACAGAAGTTGAATGATAAGGAAATAAATTTTCCCCTGTCCATTTTTGTTGTTGTTATTGTTAGTTGAAGTAGTGTTGTTCTCCTTCTTCAGAGAAAGACCAATGTAATTAAAACAAACAAAAATTGGACAGAAGAAAAGAATTGAATCATACCAGAAAGTATCTATATATCATTTGCTGAGTGAATTTTCAGATGCTGTCTGTTTGAAAGGCAAACTCTCCCAATGCCCTATGTGGGAGTCACACAGAAAGCTCATTTATTTATAGGTTTGAAAAACGTCTTTCCTATAAAAAACCTCTTTCCTGTAATTAACAGTTGATTTCAACAAAACAAAACAAAATAAAAAAAGAGGCTGCTGAAAAGATGATGTCTTAGGTACCTTTTCCTCAGACTAGCAGTTTTATGCATTAAGAAAACTCAACTTTATTTTGCCATACTGCCTAATATAGCTGAATTCTAAAAAAAGGTAGAACTAAGCATGCACAGTATCTACTTACAGCAGTTTTCTCTTTCCTACACTTTTTGTATTGCCGCTTGGATATTCACTGGGTCACTAACTCCGATAAGCCCTTTATTGTCCAAGCATCAGTAGATATTGAGTTAATGAAAGAGCTGCCCCTGTAGATTAGGAAGCTTTTACCTCATGGTTAAGGCTGATTATTGTCACAGGTTGTCTTCATGGTCTTTGCTGTGTAGGCAGTATCAGCATTATTTGAGATTGTGTTGTTGTGTTGTAAGGTGTGTGTGTGTCTGTTTGCATACTGGTTAACATCGCAGGTTCTGGAACCAGTTAATCAGTTGCCTGAGTTAAATTCTTTCTGCCCTTCTCCTCCTAGTGACTGTGACCCAGTTACCTTAACTGTCATCAATGTAGTGGGGATAATCGCCACTCGACTTCTGCAGTCTAAAGTTAGGATTTAATGGGATAATGTATGCTACGTGTCAGGCTCCGGGAGAACAATAAATGTTAACAATTATTGTTACTATAAATCTGTAAAAGCTCATTAAACTCTCAAAAATGATGGAGAATTTTTAATCTGTTGGCTCAGAAGAGGATCCTTGAAGAAGTTAAAAAGCTACGGAATTGACAATCAAGGAGCTGCAGAAAAGCCATTACTTATCAAACTAATTTAAAGCAGCAGTGAAGTGCTTATTTTTATTTAGGCTCACAAAACCACTCTCATTTAGCCAGGGCAGGTAATTCCTCATTGACTCCTTAAATATTTCTTGAGTACTTGGCATACTGGGGATACAGCTGGAGGCAAAATTATACCAAATTCTCCAGTTCCCTAGGTTACAAAACATTGGGGGAAAGAGTAAACCAAAAATATGCAGTGCAAAAAAAAAAAAACCCCAAAAAAATCAGAAAAGGAAGGTGGATAGTGTAGTTCTGGGGGTGGAAGAGTTGTTTTGCATGAGTCGACCATGGAAACCCTCCCCAAGAAGATGGCTGTGTTCAGAAACCTGACAGGCAGGGAGACCCACTGTGCAGATAGGTAAGGGAGATTTGGAGTAGGCAAAAGGGACAGCAAGTGCAGTGGCCTGTGAGTGACCATGGCTGGAGGGTCCAGCACTAGGAAGCATGACTACGAGTGGCACGAGCCAAGGAGAGAATCATGGGAGATGGGGCAGCAAGATGGTGGAGGCCAGTCATGTAGGGTCACAATGGCTATGGTAAGACAGAGGGAGTGCTGGACGTGGTTTTGTGCAGAAGTACAAACTTTGTCTGGTATACGCTTTAAAGGAGCATTCTGGCTACTCACTCAAGAAAGCTCTAGTTGGGGGAGACCATTGAGAAACCCAAGCTAGGAGCAGGTAGTGGCTTCCACCAAGATGGCGGCAGTGAAAGTGAGGCGATCCGATTGTGAAGGAGTTGAGTTGTAAGTGGGTTGTGAGAGCCATAGGAAGGAATCCAGGATGACTCCAAGGATTTTTGTTTTTTTTTGTCTTAGCCACAAGAAGCATAGCATTTCCTTTTGTTCAGAGAGAAAGATGGGGGAGAGGGCTAGGAAGGACTCCGTTGTCCAGGTTTAGCTAGGTTAGCTGGAATTAGCAAGTAGTGACAGACGCCTGCTTGGACAGATGTGCATGGGTGGGCTCCCTTCTGTGTGATTCACATCATCTCTTCCAAATAGATGCCCATGTGGAGATGGCAGCTGGCATCTTCTTCATTATACATGTGGGGAATTGTAAGATGAGGAGGAGAGTGGCTTCCAAAGAGTCACAAGATGGTCCAGTGGAATAGCTAAGATTTGATTTCAGATGTCCTTGTTTTTAATCCATTACATTTCTTATTTATGTCAGGCTTATAATGATTGTACCAACCAGAGAAAAAAGGTGCAGAAAACTACTGAAATCTTATTAGCACATATAACTTACTATTCACTCTCTACCAGGAAAATTTTTTGTTAATGAGACATTATTAATTTTTTATGAGACAATTCACGGGATTATAAATTATGGTCTGGGTGACAGTTTTCATATGAAATAGCTCACAAGTCAAAGATGCTGTTTTTATGTTTTTTACATATCTGTCATTTAAAATTTTAATTATTTTCTATGCCATTCACTGCAAAGTACCTTTAACTCCACCGAGCAACCTGAGAATCTCCAATGTGGGCTCCAACAGTGCTCGATTGTCCTGGGACCCAAGCTCCAGAAAGATCAGCGGTTACCGCATTGTCTACACCAGCGCAGATGGCACTGAAATCAATGAGGTGAGTGGTGGAACTGCATGAGTCTGTTTTGAGGTTGTTCCATATTAGTTATTAGGGACTGCGTGATCAAAGCCCGGGGACTTAAGACAACGCTATTTTCTTTCATAGTTTCTGTGGGTCAGGAAGTGGCACTCGCACCTGCCGCTGGGGTGGGAGGCCACACGTGTAGGATCCCCGAGGTGGCCGGAGCGGCCACTGTGTCTACAACTTCGGCGCTCACATGCCTGGTGCTTGGTCTGGCAAGACCAAGGCAGCTGGACCGGGGCAGACCTCTGCATCGTCCCTGCATGCAGCTCCAGGGCAGCTGGCTCAGGAGACCTGTGACACTGGTCCAAGGTGAGACTGTGCCACCTCAGAAGTCATTTGATATCGTCTCCACTGTGTCTCATTGGCAGGAGCTATCACAAGCCCTGGCCTGGCTTCCAGTGGGGACCCACCCAGCTCCCACCGATTCAGGAAGGCTGCCAGCCACACAAGCAGAGCCTGTAGGGTGGGAAATGCACCCTGATGTGGTCTCTTTGGAAAATACCATCTGTCGTGGTGGATGGGGTTGGGGCAGTATATATCCTCACGGAACTGGCAGACTAGAAATATACTTTCTGCTTACCAAGTTTATCTCTCTGCTCTGAAGTAAACTGACATCTGAAGAACCTCATTAAATGAACCTAAATTTAAAAGAATTCAGCTTTAGTTTAAGAAGGTACTTTCAAATAAAGGAGCTTAGAAAACTCAGGAGATATAGTATTTTGCATGCAGTGACTAATGTTTACAGAAATTCTTTCTTGGAAATGTGTTTTAGCAAGCTAGCAAGCTATTTTTGTTTTATTTTTCCTTATCTTGGTCCAGGAAGCTAAGACAAATGGGAAATATGTTGGATTACATCAGTTCTATTATCTGACCAAATAAAGCAAGTATTTTCATATGCTGAGACAAATTTTTTCCAACAGTTAAATCCAAGTAATATTTTACAAAATGAACCTTCATAAGAAATACCATGAAATGAGCAGGCAGTAAGTAGTAAGTGCACATTTCCTGAGCTGCACAAGTACTGTCCAGCATCCCTCCTAAACCCTCATAGGTCCCGTGGGTAAATGATTCTGGAGTGTCTGAAGCCACTGGGACTAGTTGCTTTGTCTTTGAAGACAGGAACCTGGAGCAGTAAAAAGATTAAAATTAAATCCACCAAGCTACAATGTCTCTGTATCCCCAGTGATAAACAAACAGTTCTCCCAAGAGCTGCAAACTTACCTATGGAGGAGGATCCAGCGGGTAATGTAACCAAGTGAAGCGCATGCCACAAAATGTGCAGAAACAGACAAGCAGCAAAGAAATACACTCTCGCCAAGTTTCCCTTGAAACCCGAGGCCAGCTTAGGCTCAGTTTGCATTTCCATTTGGGGGATGTGGATATAGAAGAAATTCTCTGCTTAAGGAAAGACAACTCAAGGCCCGTGATAAATGATGATGGGCGATGGATGCCCATGACAGGGGCCCAGGTAGAGGAGGGGACTGGGGTGACAGGAGCTCACCCACCAGCTCCTGCTACATAAAGATTCAGGTGGGCAGTCAGGGCCTGGGCCTCTTGGAGAGATACCGGGGATTTCTATTTTTCCCCGGAAATCACCAATTTAAAGATGGAATGATCAAAGCAACACAGCATCTGTTCATAATTTTATCTTATTTTTTTACATTTTGGAACATCTTCCTCTGGTAATAATTTTTTAATAAAATAAAACTTTCATATATATAAATCAGTTATATTTATAAACATAATTCTGTCATCAAGAAGAATCACCGCTGCTGTAGCCAGTGACCTTACACTGGTGACTCGTAGACCATGGAAACACATTATTCGCAGCTCTGCAGACATCCACGGTCAGGGCGCCATCAGGGTCAGGGTCCTCCCAAGAAGGCTTCCACGAGCCTCTCTTGTCAGGGCCCCTGCCCAAAGCCCAGTGTCCCAATATTATTGCACTGGGGCCAGGTATTAACATACAAATGGGGAGGGGGACAAGCCTGCAGACCACAGGAACTGTGCGGGCTTCTTGTGATATTTTGTGGTGTTCGTTTTTCAAAGAATGGCCCCAAACTAGTACAGTTGTAGCGTATTTGTGCTCCTTTTTGCAGTGCTGTTCAATCTTAGGGTACCTTTGGCAATTACTAGTTCTAAATTGTATTGTTCTGGGAAATTAGAACATCACGTTTGGTGAAACTGACTTTGAAATATCAGTAAATGGGTTTTGAATGAGGATCTAAAAATATTTTATTGAATACCATGCATAAACCATGCATGGATTTTTAAACATCTATTTTGACCGGTGTGTGTTTTCTTATTCTTAATTCTTAACCATGAAACTGAGATTCAAGTTTGCTGGATAAGTGTCTTTTATTTAAGTGAATATTTTATGTTATTTTGGAATATTTAATTTTTAAGGGTGAATGTTCCTATTTTGCTTTAATTTCTGTGAATTTAAGCTTCTTTTTATAGGTAAGGCAGCAATTGGCATTTTAAGAAATCCCCAAAGTATTCTGAAATATTTATAAACTGCCAGCTAGGATCGACTTTGTAGGTAATATGTAATTGATCATAGAAGCTTTTACTTTACATGCAATTAGTATTTCTCTGCTCACTCCCTCTTCCGTTTGCCTTCTCCAGTATACTTCCTCTTCCTCCGTCTTCCCTCAGTCCCTGTTTTTGTTCACTTTCTCAGCCTCTATGTCTTGTCTGCATTATCCCTCTCCCCAGCTTTCTGGAGGCCAAGAGAAAAAGAGGAAAAGGGCGTCAAATGGGTGTCAGTGATGATGACAGATAGAGCGGACTGTGGTGGCTCACCCCTGTTCAGTGTTGCTGAGTTTCTGCCATGCGCCAGGCCCTGTGCTGCGAGCTCGACAGAGAAACATGGACAGAACCAAGTGCTGGTGAAGCAGTGTCACATTTGCTACCCCAGCAGGCTTTTGCAGTGGGAGGATTCGGGAAGTGAACCAACACGATGGAGGATTGAGCACTGCCATTTGAGGTTCAAAAAGGCAAAGGCCGCAGTTTTCAGACTGAGAGGCCAGTTCCCAGCGGGATGGCTCAGTAGTGAGCCCTGGTCCCGGTCCCGGAGCGAGCCTGAACCCCAGCCCAGAGCCCTCACTCCTGATCAGCGACTCTTTCTGAATCCCTTGCAAAGTTAGGTTGAAGTTAAGTTTTAGCTAGAAGCTGGAGAAACTATTCTTAATAATAGTTGTAGAACAATAAGCTCATGATCCTTTATTAATTTTTCCAAATTCCTCCACATTTTAAAAGCACTACCACAAAATCTGTTCTAGAACTAATAGTTTAAAGCATAATATTATAAATAATAAAAATAAATGATACCTAAAGCTCTTGATGAAATTAACTAGTGGTGAAATTATATAAAATATGGTCTCAAATAAAATAATTTAGGGAATAACTTAGATCTTTTTAAAAACAGATATACATACCCATGTTACATGTACATATGTGTATCTACTGATCTATCTATCTGTCATCCATCTATCTAGTAAGGGGGGAACATGTGTGTGCTTATATACATTTTTCCCCTTTAGTCTCCCAGTGTACCTAAAAATTTTGGGTTTTCACTGCTTTTGTGTATATTTGATATCTTTGCAAAGTTCCTGTTTGTCACAGATGTGCAACTTAGAAATAAAGTGAAGGCCTCATGTGCATTCTAGTTACAGTTTATGGGTCAGGAGAAATTCGTTAAGCTCCTTGGACCTCAGGTTCTTCTTTGGGAAATTCCTATCATAAGTACCCAGAGTCCAGGGGAAAAGCTCTACATGAAATAATGTGTGTCAAGTCCCTGACACTTTCTGAGGGCTCAGTAAATCTTCTCGATGACAATCAAGGTGTCAGAAAGCCATACGGAAATAGTTTTCCACAATACGTTTTAAACTCATATTTTAAATATGGATTTGTGTTTTCTGTGAGCCTAAATAATGAAACCACTTTGTAAAAAGTGTCTAAGAGAATAGGACTTAACGTTTGAGACACCTGGGCGGAAGTTCGAGGTCCTAGCTGGCCCTTCTGGGTGAGATCCTAACTGGCTTCTTCGGCTCCAGGCCAGGGCAGTGATGAGGTCAGCACACGCTGGGAAGGAGACATGCTTCCGGGGCTTGCTGTGTAGCTGGCCTGCAGCTGGAAGTGTGGCCTGGCTCGCCCTGGCCTTGCCCTATGTAGGCTGGCTGAGGTGTCGCTTGCTCATGTCTCTGAGTGGCTGGGCGGGAGCTGCCAGTGGCAACGTCATTCCTGTCTGGTGTCTTCGGGGGTGGCAGAGCGCGCTGGGGTCGCTGGCTCCTCCAGCACTGGCTGCAGAATTGTCCCAAGGAAGAGCTGGTCCACATCAGCTCGTGCCTCCCCTCCTCGGGCCGAAGTGGGTGCAGGTCTTCACCTTGTCGATTTCCACCATTTAAGGGTGGAAGATTAGAAATGTCTGCACAGGAGCCGTTTTTATAAGTTAGTAATTTGTTTTGCAGCATTCCTAGCCTGACACTCCGCCAAGGACGCTGCGGACAACAGTGCCCCTGTGTTCCTGAGGTGTGGGCATAGCCACCACAACTGCTCTCTTTTGCAGGTTGAGGTTGACCCCATCACCACGTTCCCTCTGAAAGGCCTGACCCCGGTCACCGAGTATTCCGTTGCCATTTTCTCCATCTATGACGAAGGGCAGTCTTTGCCTCTGGCTGGAACTTTCACCACAGGTAAGCTTCGGTCCACCTTGAAGTATTCGGAAGTAACTATGCAGAAGCCAAAATCTGCAACAGGTTCTTCAACTGTGATTTTTTTTTTTTTAAGGAGATTGCATTTTAGATTTTAAATATCATTAACAAGCCAGGAGTGGTGGTCCATGCCTATAATCCCAGCACTCTGGGAGACTGAGGCAGGAGGGTTGCAAGTTTGATCCCAGCCTGGGCAGCTTAGTGACTTAGCAAGACTCTGCCTCAAAATAAAAAAGTAAAAGACTGAGGATGTAGCTCAGTGCAAAGGCCTTAGGTTCAATTCCCAGTACTGTAAATGACAAAAACCCCCAAAACCCAAAATATCATTAACAAGTAAGCAATTAGATAACCAGTGTATGTCCTGCCTAATTATTCTCTATCAAAACAAAGGAGAGAATAGGCCATCTAAATTTAAAAAGTCTAAGTTTTAAAAAACTGTATATTATTCTCTTCACAATCTTGAACTTTTTCTTGTATTCCTAGATATAAAATTTTCATGTCCTTCTTCCATTCATGTGTGTATGCATTAAGTTGAACTTTCAAAACTGCTGCTATCTAACAGTTTTTAACCAAAAAAGACAGTTTCATACTATAATATATCATGCTACAGCTAATACTTCATTCTCACACAGCCTAAAGTCTTAATCGAATAAGGAATGTTTTCAATACTAAAATGAACCGGAAGGCGTGAATACATTCTTTTCCTTTTCTATATGGACGCTGTAGTTGCCTAATGAACATCAAACTGTTTGTCTCTTGGTTGTCACAGCTCTATTGTTTGCTTTCTGAACTTACTGACTGCACTTGGAAGCAAATCCGGCCCTGTGCTTTGGCGATGTGAAGGTCATTTAGAGAGAAGGGAGGAGTCTGGATTGAGAAATAATGTGTACAGAAAAGTCCAGTGATTCCTCAGGATCGCCTGAGGGTTGGAATTCTCATGGTGTCCTATCAGAGTTTTAAAATCCCTGAGCTCAAGTAATAAAAATCAGCGAGGGAAACATTTATTTGGGGTGCAGTTGCATGTTGCGTTCTCTGCTGTACATCCCCAAAGGGTGTAAATTGTGACGAGTGAAGGGTCCCATAAATTAAATTCACTTCTGATGACACCACGTGATGTAAAACATGAAAACAGTGACTTTCTTCCCCAGGCAGGACTGAACTTAGCCCCAGGGAGAGAGTGAACCGCTGTGCCAGCCCTTTCTCCAGGCTCTACCTGTTAACTTCCTCAAAACACTTGGAATGTAGTATCTTGATAAAATAACCAATGTGGCATTTTTATTTATTCTACTGAATGAAAAGAGCCAAGTAAACAAGCCAAGGATTCTGTAATTACTGGAAAGCTTTAAAAATCTGATTTCCGTGGCTTTCCTGATTTATGCAGTCAGCCCACGCTGGACCCATTGGCGCGGCTTTGCTTTCTCCTGTGGTTTTCCAAAAGCAAAGGATTCCTCGCGGAGTCCGCTCCTGCTGCGGCCACTGGCCTGAGTTTTGGCCTCCTTGCCTTCTCATTCTCTAACCCAGTTTCCTTCCCGGTCAACAGAGGAAGTCCCAGCCCAGCAGTACTTGGAAATCGATGAGGTGAAGACAGACAGCTTCAGAGTGACCTGGCACCCGCTCTCGGCTGAGGAGGGTCAGCACAAGCTGATGTGGATTCCGGTCTACGGGGGAAAGACCCAAGAGGTGGGTGACCCAAGAGGTGGGTGACCCGAGGTCGCTCAGACGCTGCAGTGCGCTATCCTGAACTGAGGCTACTACCACACAGGAGTGGTTCTTCATTTCAGATAGGTTGGGAATTCCCAAAGTAATGACACTTACTGGAGTTTCATAGAAGTCATAGGGTTTTTTTTTAAAGATTAAAGTGCATGGCTTCCAGGGCTTTCATTATGTATCTTCTGTATCTTCAGATTCTTCGACTCTCCTGAATAACACTTAGTAACACCTCCGAGTGCCACTCTTGCAATATTAATAACTTATCTGTCGAGGGAATGAGAAGGAGTATGTTCTTTTGGGGTTCTGTTGTTGTTGTTTTGTTTTTGTGTTTTTATTTTTTTGTTTGTTTGTTTGAGGCAGGATCTTGCTACCTAGATCAGGCTGGCCTTGATCTCAGTTTGTAGCCCAGGCTGGCCTCGAACTAGGAACATGTCCTTTAGTCTGACTTCATGATTGATTTCAGCCCTAGAGTTTGTTATGCTCGGTTATTTCTTCTTTTTTTTTTTTTTCAGAGGAAAAGTGTACACCTTTATTCTTGTTTTTGTTTTGGTATCAAACTCGGGACCTTGCACTTGCAAGGCAGGCGGTGGCACCACTGAGCTAAATCCCTGCCCCTTACACCTTTATTCTTTTTTTTTTTTTTTTTTTGGTATTGGGGATCAAACTCAGGACCTTGCGCTTGCGAGGCAGGCGCCGGAACCACTGAGCTAAACTTCTGACCCCTCACCTTTATTCTTGGTAATCTTTTTTTTTTTTTTTTTTGGTACCGGGGATCGAACTCGGGACCTTCCGCTTGCGCAGCAGGCAGCGAAGCCACTGAGCTAAATCCCCGGCCCCCCTGCACCTTTATTCTTAATGCTAACAGGTGAGTCTCGCTTGGTTATTTCTTGCTTGTGCTCAGACTAACATTTTCTTTTTTGCTTACATGTCCTCTAACTTCCCTTTCCCCTGTGTATTCAAGTGAACCTAATTACCGAGCAGCAATACTTTTCAGGTGGTCCTTAAGGAGGAGCAGGACTCCTATGTCATCGAGGGCCTGGATCCTGGCACTGAGTATGAAGTTTCGCTCCTGGCTGTGCTGGACGACGGCAGTGAGAGCGAGGTGGTCACAGCCGTGGGGACCACACGTGAGTCTCTGGCCAGCGTGGACTCCTGCAGCTCCCACTCCACGTTGATGCCGTCTTCCCTTCCCTGGCTCTCTGTCCATCAGCCAAGAGGCTTCCGGTTTTCTTAAGGTGTCTCTACCTGCCATGAAACCAACAGGAAAGCACCTCAGCGGTCCAGACTCTTGTCACCAGGAAGGCTGGGACCACACCCCTCTTACTCTTTATTGTACTCTTGGTATTTGGCACACTTTATGGATGAATGGATAGGTGGATGGATGGACGGAGTGATTTGTCAAGGAATAAGCTGCCAAACAAAGAAATCTAGGGCTGAAATGTTCAAGAGTTACTAGAATTTTCCAAGTTGATCTTGGTTCCAAGAATTTTGCACAAAATGCACTCACTGATTGACTTAGCCCTTCATTTTAAAAAATGAGGTATTAAGAACTTACTAAATTCTCTTAGATTGGGTTCCCTGGAACCAGATTTGGAGACAGAAAGCTGCATCTAGAAGGTCTACTGGGAGTCAATTATGTAAGACACCGAGGACAGCGGCACAGGGCCAGGAGAAGCTGGAACTGAGCCTTCAGCGGGTCCTATTAGAGGATCCAGACTAAGGCTCGCCCTACTGAACTGTCCAGACTGGAGGCAGGGGCGGGGCCGTCCCTGGGGAGGCTGTGACTCTCATGAGCCTCGGGGCGGGACCTGCAGGGCGGAAGCACCTGGTGGGTGTGGTGTGGCCCGCACATGCGCAGGAGCCCTGAGCGCCTCCTGCCCAGGCAAGTCGCCCCTAGGTGGTCTTGATTGGCAGCCAGTTCACGACTCTCTCTGCGCACCTTTTAATTTACTTTAATTATCACAGCTATGCCCCTGTTTTGAGATAATTGGAGGCTCCTTAATTTGGTAGATGGACTCCAAATGTTTATGTGAAATCTCGTGTCAATGACGAGAAAGTGACTTTTTTTGGTTTCCGTTTTCTTACCTTGGAACAGGTATGTCTGCCTTACTTACAACTCATTTCAAAGTCTTCCGACCACACACAGATTTGTTTTAGGAAAAAGCAAGACAATATAGGCGAAATGTTCTTCATAGGCTATGAAATGACTTACATAGATGTACAGGGCTATTGGTTTTACAGAATTTCAAAGTATTCAGGGAATACTTTTGTTTTCTTTTTAGTTGACAGTTTTTGGACAGAACCAGCCACAACCATAGTACCAGCCACACCTGTAACATCAGGTAAGGACTCACAGGAGCCCATTGACTTCTATTTGATTTAGACAGAAGCTGAATTCTTCCCATTTTATTTATTTTATATTACTAACTAGAGAGGGGCTGCTCCTCCCCTTTTCCACCGCAGACTGGTTGCATTTTACTCCCCCATAGCCCTCCAATGCCTTCTCTACCTCTGCGGGCTGTGGTGGTCCCATCCACCCCTCTCACTGTCTGCCGGGCCCATCTCTCTCTGGGGTTCCCACTTGCTTCTCCAAGCATGATGATGCAGTGTCCTCCCTGGGGCTCTTTGCCTTTCTCTGATCTCAGTGACTTCTGCTTTTCACATCATGGTTTTTGTGCAGATATTTCTGTGGGGAACAACTTTGGCTCTTTCCTCTCTTAGCCGAGCCCTCTCTGCCACTCAGTACACCTCTGAACCATTGCAGAGTCAACTCATGACCCAGAAGTTGGATAAGATCATTTATCACCCAGCCGGAAACACCTCAGTGGCTCTGCATTTCTTATTCATTCCCTCTTCAAGTAATCTTTACTGAGCCCTAGACTCTATTGTAACATCAAGATCCTTCCTGAGAGTTTCTGCTTCTCTTCCTGGTCCCAACCACACTTCCTATTCCTCCTCCATTTGCTCCTCCCACTTAGAACTCCCTGCCCTCAAGTTCCCTCCACTCCCACTGCCAGGTAAATGTCTGTATCCTCCCTCCTCTGTGATGCTTCTGTTTTTCTCAGGAGCTAATCACTGTATCTCCAAGACCTGACATCGTTTGACATAGAGGAAGAGTTCAATGAATGCTTTCTGAATGAATCAATGAATCAATGAATGAATGAGGAGAAAGGAGGTGTAGTGGAGATGGTGGAGGTGGACAGGATGAAAGAAGAAAAATGGGACACGGGAGGGAGCATTTGAAGAGAAGGATGGATGTGTCAGCACACATGAGGGGAGCAGGGACAGATGTCAGAGAAGAGGTGGTGTCTGCGGGCTGAGAGGATGCAAGCTGTGCTGCAGCGGCGAGGTTAAAGCAGACATGGGGCTGGGGTGCACAGGAAGGCAGGCGAGACTGGCTGTGCCGTGCCCACTTCCCAGCAGAGTGGTGCTGTGGGGTTCCCATGACCCGGCTCCCCTGCGGGCTCACAGTCAAGGCTCAGGGCTGATGACTTGGATCGGGCTGAGGCCTTGTCCTGTGAGCACTCTTGAGCCCAGTTTTGTTTGTTCTTGGTCGGCATCTTGGTCCCCAGTGACCACGAAAGTGGAACTGCTCTTGCTCTGTGTGCTTCTGCATCCTGGAACTGCACTAAATGACGCTCCCGCTCCCGCTGCCCTCCAGGCAGTTTCTGTGCAATGTCAGGAGCTCAGCATTCTCTCCACCTTTGTTGTGTCTATTCCAGTTTTGCAGACAGGAATCAGAAACTTGGTTGTAGATGATGAAACTCCCTCCAGCCTACGGGTGTCGTGGGACATTTCCGACAGCAACGTGGAGCAGTTTAGGGTGACCTACTTGACAGCGCAAGGGGACTCCGTGGAGGAAGTGGTAGGAACAGTCTGTGTAGCAGCCGCCGACTCCCCTAACACCACTAATGAGGCTGTCGCGGGGACCACGCACACTTCCCTGCATGCTGACCGCCACCTCCGGCAACTACCGCTCGTCCCTAATCCGAACCTCACTGCGCGTTTCTCGCTGGCCTGTCTTCAGCATTTGCCCCACCGCGCTTGCTTCAGGCTGGGAAAGCCTCATTCCCTCATTTCCTTGCCACTGCCGCCTTGACTTCTTGTTAGCGCCTCACACTGGGCCTGGGAGGCCGGTGTGTGTGGTGTGCATTGTCGTGCAGATCCTCGTAGAGAGCGTTAAGTAGTGACTCCATCGGCCCTGGGACTTGAGGAAAGCTTTTCAAGCCAATAACACACGAAGGGTCTTCTTGATTTGGGTTAAGTGATCCTGACACTTTGCCATCTGTTAATAGACAGCTACATTTTCCACTTCTTTAACTCATTTTGGGCAGACTTAGAGCCATTTCTCATTTGTTGCCCATCATGGATGTCTCTCCTCAGAGATTTAGACTTCTGTGTGCCGAGTTTTCTTTAACTTGTCTTGTTTACATTCATTCATTTTCCTAGAACACATTTACAGGGCATGCGGTTTCAGCTGGGTATTTTTCCACATGGGAAGCCTGGTGCTGTTCGATCCCTGGCTTCTCCTGGGTTCTTAACTGTATCCCACGTCACCCCTTTAGTCTAGAACCCAAAACCACTCCCTACACATGTGCCCAGTTAGACCGGATGGCTCCACTCTTCAGTAGGAAGAAGTCGTCTTTTTCATCATGCAATATGCCTTATGTAGCGCATTAGTTGCATCTTTTGTTCCCTGCTGCATTATTTTTCATACTCTAGGAAAGGAATCTCCAAAATTCATCATTGCTCAAGAACAGCATCGCGTTTTCTGTCCCTTTCTTACTCGCAAAGCCTTTGATGGAAAAAAATGATGCGCATACATAAACAGTTGTGTGAGCAGACCGAGCCGAGGTCGCTTCGCCAAAGCTCTTTCTTGCCAGCTGACGGGACAACAGGGTGAGAAGGTGGCTGAAGCAGGAGCCACATCCACCGAGAGGCTCCGGGAGCATCTGGGGAAGTCAGGGCACGCGCACTGCAACACCACAGGCTGCATTTAGGGTTCTCTCTGGCCATACATTGCAAATAGTTCACGGCTTGCAAACTCAAAAATGTTAACACGGTGCATACCCATGCCAGTTAATTAATCTGGGGTGTTTATTATATTTTATTTGGGGGGGGGTATTTTTGCCATCATTGTCCTCCTGTTGTAATTTAGTTCCCCAAAGTGAGACTCATAGAAACTCCAGTGTGAAAGGTTTATTTGCTGTTTTATTTATTTTTTTACTTATTCCAAGAAACATGTTAAGATTCTTGGTGAATTATTCCTGCTAATTTGGAAAGAGTAATGGTTTAATCTCACACATGCACTTGTGAGCTATGCAAGGTAAAATTATAATAATATTTACTTAGGGTTGTTTCTAGATAATTTCTGCTTTGCCAGTTTCTTTCATTTAGCACTGTTTGTTTTTGAAATGCTTGAACACCTAGATGAAGGGGAAAAAATAAAAAGACTTAGTCTGCCCCAGTTAAACAAACCTTTCATAAAAATGAAAAATACTGATAAATCTCACAATGATAACTTACTCTGAGGAAGTGTTTGTTTTTATTTCAGCTATATAAAAGAAAGTGCTGTGGGATTTTTTTTTACATATTCAGCCTTTTTAGCGAATGTTAACTAAACTGGATTTTTGTGCACAATTTAGGTGCACTTTCTTAGTTTATAGGGACTTAGCTGTGGATAAATTGGGAATTTATATCTATGTGTTATCAAGTGTTACTGCTATACAATTGTAGTGACTGATATTATTGGAGATGGAAAGTGGGTTGCTTCTAAGTTTAGATTATGGAACAGTCAGCTGTGAACGTATGCCGAAGCCCCAAGTCTTGAAGTTGAACAGATATCAAATTATATCTTAAAATAATGATGCAGGGCAGGGGAAGACAGACGGATAAACTAGTGTGACAGCAAGAAAGAAGACGTGCCAGGAAAGAGGGACCCTTCACCATCCTCCCAAATTCTCCCAAATTCTCCTGTACCGTTCGGGCTGATGTGTTTACATGAGGGCAGGCTAAGGTCAAGGCACTGAAGTCGGAGGACAGTGTACGGACAGAATATTGTAAATCAAACAGCGAGTGGGCAAGGACATTTACTTCATCAGTTGAGTTTTGTGAAATGTTTGCCTGGGTTCTAGGTGCAATCAAATCAACCAGGTATTTCCAAGGTCAGGTTTCTGAACGCTTGTAAATAAAACTACCCACCAAATACTTGATAAAGATTGACTTTCGACTCTGCTTTGGAACGTGATGGGGTGACTGACGTTGCCCTGGTTTTGCCGGCAGAGCAGCGTGGCCTCTTGTTCACTGTTAAAACACTGGCTGGGAGTCCAGATTTTTAGAGTCTCGGGGCCCAACTCTCTACCAGGACCGGAAGTCTGAGTTGCAGGGAGCTTTCCAGAGTAGGGCTGCTCCGTGGATGGCCCGGGCTTCTTCATAGCCAGTGCAGATAGTAAGATTAAGCTTTAGAAACGGTAGTCACCGTGGCGCATCACTGAAACAGCCCAAGGACTTAGCAGTTTGCTTGTGCTGTGTTTTATACAAGTAGTGGTCTGCGTGGTGGAGTTAGAACACCGCCCCGCCCCATCTCGTGCACCACAGGTAGGATGAAAGCCCTTGTCTGGGAATAAGCTGAGAAGGGAACCGAAGGTGCAGGGGGCCCTTCTCCACAGGGAACAGCTTCGGGGCTGGGCCACTCTGAGGACCTCTGGGTAACCACAGAGCCAGACCTGAGTTTCATTTCTGACAATATTAAGCTGGGTTTACATCCCAGTGAACCGTGAGCACCCTTTTCGGGTCTGCTGTGACTGGCAGTGTTTAGTTTCCTGCTTGACTCGGACAAGCGCGGCTCAAGCAGGAAGAACTCTGCACGCTTTACTCTTGGGGATGAACTTCAGTTTCAGGCACTTCACTCACGTGGAATAGAGGGCAAAGATTAAAGGCAAGGCCTGGGCCAGACTGCTGGGCTCACGATAAGGGTCCTTTACCAAGCCGTGTGGGCCTCAGTTCCCCCACCTGTAAAATGAGTGTTATTATGTGAAGGACTATGTTCAAAGACGTAGAGTAGCATCTGCCACATACTAGTTGATAGATAAGCGAGGGCCAGTATTGTGGAGCACAGCAGTTACCTCCTGGTGACCTAAATGAGTCTTCAAGATGGTCACACGGCTGCCAGGATTCCGGGGGTAACTTCGATTGGTTATAGGCATGTGCTTCTCAGTAGGAGAGGTGCTCATATTTAAGGAATAGCAGCATGGGTGGTTTGCTAGACAGACAGCGGGGCCCTGGCCCCAGAAGCTCTGGTTCAGAGAAATACCCGGCAGGAAGCTGCCCTGACACCAAGTACGCATCGGGGCAGCCGGGCCCTACTCAGCCTCCATGCCAGGTGTGCCTTAGTTTAAGAGCTCCCTCCCGGGACCCTGTGTACACATCCACGCCTCTCTGGGCCTTTCCATGCCACTTCTATGAGTCTAGTAAAAATCACCCAACACAGCCTTCCTTTATTCATATTAAAAAACATTGCTTTTGAGAGCTTAGCGGTATCTTAGCAACATCTGCTTGGGGTTCAACTGGAGGCCTTCTAGGGCTTTCTCCCTGATTTATGCTCCTCCCGGCATCCAGAAGTAGCACCGCCCTCAGGTCGCTGGCATTTCACTCAGCCCTTGAAGGGAAAGTGCCTCCAGCTGTCCTGGCCCTGTGACTCCCCAAATCTGCTGGGGTCTCCTCTTACCGAGCTGCGTTTCAGGTCTCTACGTGGTCGAGGGATGCGGGGCAGCTGGCTTCGGAGCACAGGCAGCAAGTTTTGCAGCTTCAGCATCGGGAACACATGGCTCCTCAGGTCCTCGGGGACACCTGGGTGGCACCCGTGCCTTGTGGCGCTTTGCGGCACACCTGGGCAGCAAGCCCGCCCCCTCTGCCAGGAGTCTTTTATGGCAGCCTTTAGAGACAGAGCGGTGGTGCTTCCAGATTGAAGAAGGCAACTCTCTTCAGAAATCTAAAAACAAACCAGCAGCACTCTTAGTGTTGCTGGTAAGTCCGCTTCAGCTCTGAACGCTTGGCTCCGGTGAGTGGTCTGTTCCTCTTGGCCAACAACCAGCCTTGCTAATTGAAGGAATGAGAGGCTGGAGCCAGGTTATCGCTTAGGGAGGAAGCCAGGAAGGCTGAGTTTGCAAGAAGACAGCGAGTCCACTCCCAGCAGCCAGGCAGCAGGCTGGGGTACAGGACGAACACCCCCAATCCCTAAGCACCTGCGGCCCATGCGACCCTTATTCTGTCTTCTGGATACTTGCCACATCCCAGAAGATGCTCAGAGAAAGCTGCTACTCCTCGGGGCCTCAGAGCTTTCAAGCCCACCCCTCCGTGTTGGTGACTGTACCCAAGGCCCGGTGTGAGGAAAATGTCAAAACAGACGCTTTTTCATGGATGCCCACTCTTTCCTGACCACTGCCAAGCATGTCTCCTTGCTTCTGATGATTAAATGTCACAGTTGTGCTCGGGTCGTAGGTCAGTGGGAACAGGGGATCGTACTTGACGTTGGCCTTGGTTTTTCGTGCAGGTTATGGTGCCTGGAAGCCAGAACAGCGTTCTTCTGAAGCCCCTTCTCGCAGCTACCGAATACAAAGTCACCGTGACACCCATCTACTCAGATGGAGAAGGTGTCAGCGTCTCCGCCCCCGGGAAGACCTGTAAGTGCAGCCCTCTGCCCCGGGCCTCTTGCTGACTCCCAAGCACCGGCTCTGAGTGCAGCCAGGGAGATTCACTCTGACAAGGTCTGGAAACCAACCTGGGCCTGGGTCCCTGGCACACAGACGTGCGGTGTGGCTCCAATGCCCTGGGCTTCAGACTTCTCTTCTGTAGAAGCTGAGACTTGAGGAGGAGCTGCTCTTTCTCCACCAGCATCGGGCTCATCATGAGCCTGTGGCTTCGCTACAGGGCAGGCTGGTGTCTGCTCATTTCTGTCCATCTCTGTCCAGACTTCGCCTCTTTCCCTGGATGAGTGCCCGGCGCTGTGGGGTCCCCGCCTTCCGCTCTGCTGCCTTCTCCCAGCACTGAGGAACTTTCAGAACATGAGTGATCTCAGGTTGTGGAAGCTCCCGTGTCCTCCCCACACCCTGCAGAACCCGGGGGACCCAAGCGCCCCGTGCAGCGGCCGACTCTCACAGTGTCGGCCCGCTGCCTGTGTGTTTGTGTCCCATCACGGCTTGGCGCTCCGCAGTCTAGCATGCTCCTGTTCACTCTGTCCATGTCCTGTCGCGAAAGCCCAGGACTCATCTGTGCCAGCACCACGGTGTGGCAGGGAAAGGCGCCCTGAGTGAGTTGTTCGAGACACATTGGCCATCATCACAGAGGGGATTATGTGTGCAAACCCATGGCTAAAGCTTCCAAAGTGTTAGTCGTCTTCATTCCTCTTGCGGTTGTCTTACATTGGTATAAAGCCCATTTTAAAACTTAATGGCATTGGGCCGGGGATTTAGCTCAGTGGTTTCGCTGCCTGCTGTGCAAGCTCAAGGACCCGAGTTCGATCCCCGGTACCAAAAAAACCCAAAAATACCTTAATGGCATTAAATGATGGCCTTTTCACGGTGTCTCACAGTTGCATGGGCAGGAAATCAGCTATTGCTTGCTGGGAAGTGTCCCATGCACTGATTAGTGTGGCCCGGTGATATCCGCTGGTGGCTGGGTTGGTCTGAGGGTCAAAGACAGCATCGCCCACCTGCATGGCCTGGGGTGACAACAGCTGGCCTCAGCGAGGTCTCTCTCCCTAAGCCTCGAAGCCTCTCCATGGACTTCTTCCAGTAAGGTGATCATAGTTCTCCCCCAGGGACTCGGGACTCTGAGAGCAGGGTGTCCGGGAGGCAGAAATCCCAAGCTTCCAGGACAGTCTGGGGTTGGGCCTGGGACGAGTCGTGTGGCTTCTGCCGTCATCCAGGGCAGCCACAGGACCCACCCAGATCCAAAGAGAAAGTCACAGCCTGCACTTCCCCATGGAAGAAGGGTCCCACATAGCCACGACTATCTGTAATTCATTGTAACTGCCAATGGTTACATGGGCTCAGGTGCAGAATGGTGTCAAAGGTTGATTCAGAACCCTGGCACCAGAGTGTGGGTTCTGCGCCCCACAGAGAGGTCCTGTCTCCTCACGGAGCAGTGCTGGGGTCCCTCCCTTTCCCGTGCCCTCCCACGTGTCCTACTGCCAGACTCCTGCCAGGCTTACACAGGTGCTAAGGAGCGTGCGGACTCTTGTGAGCCCTCAGAGTTGCTCTGGTGACTTTCTGGGGTCCTTGTGGAAATGGGAGAGACTTGAGGAGTCTGAGACATTGGCATCTGGATTCGATCTTGGTGGTTGTGGGCACAGGATACGTCGTACACCTTGAGATGCCATTGTACACAGCATCAGAATTTAATCCATGTGCTGGGCTTTCGGCCACATTTTAGTGTTTTGCTACTACATAAACCTCTTGAAACCTACAGACAACAGCTAAAGAAGACAAGGGAATCAGTATGTACAAAACACAAAGACTGTTCCTGTAGAAGCGTAATTTATATCGCATTACCAAAGTGCCATTACATACAACGATCTCCATTCAGCAAAATTATCCCAGTGGCAGTGGATGGTCTATTTATCTTTAAAGCGGCCAGCGCAAGTGATTCTATCAACAAAAAATAATGATACAGTGGACCGTCGAGTTACGAACAACTTTGGTTACAACCGGAATGTTAGTTTTAACTTACAAACAAAGTCTTGAGTTATGACCTGAATGCTGGCCGCTTGTGCTTCCAGATGGCCTCAGATATAGATTTAACCCTTAAAGAGTTCTGGAAGGAACATGACAGCATCCTTTCCTGAGCGGGGTTAACTGAGAGATCCTGGGCCATTGTCTCTCTAAGGCCACTGAGATCTGCCTGTGTACAGGAGAGAGACTGTGAAGACTGTAGAGAAGCCTGAGCCTTCACTGACCAAGTTGAGTTACAACCAGGCCTCGGGAACAAATTGAGTTCATAAGTCAAGGGTCCACTGCAGTAGTATCAGTCAGCATGCATAATAGTTTGCAAAGGACCTCTATGTGACGTTAATGTTTTTTATAAAAAATTTGATGACACATAACACAAAGTTTCAAACAATATATTTGGACCATACAAAGATAAAAAATAAAAACCCATGAGCCTGTGAGCTCCAAGAATAATAACCATTAATACTGTGTGAACAGCACCCTCAGTCTTGTGGGACGCCTGTTCTTGGATGATGTGGGACAGGGCTTCATGTGGACACAGATTTGTAATCAACACCATTTAATTCAACTGTTTACTTACTTGGATAAAAGGAAACCAACATGACATTGAATGAACTTCTGAATTTAGGTAAAACTGCTTCACCGTGAGAGTGATTTTCCACGCACTTAATATTTTAAAAAGCAGACAAAAGGTTTCCCACTGTGTGCCTTGGTACACTTTCACTTGGAACTGTTTTTAACCCTGTGAGAGAGAGGATGTCTTAAATTTTGTTGACAGTTGTATAGGCCATAAAGAAGGAAACTCCCATGAATCCTTAGTGTGTCTTTTCTTTCCTGCCCAGCGCCACCCTCTGGTCCCCAAAACTTACGGGTCTCGGAAGAGTGGTACAACCGGCTTCGCATCACATGGGACCCCCCGCCCGGCCCCATAAAGGGCTACAGGATCGTCTACAGACCCGTCAGTGGTATGTAGTCTTCAGGTCTGCAGTGCCTTTTAGGGTAAATTGTCTGATTTTTTGGGTCAATGTTTGGTGTTATCTTTTAAAAGACATAACAAGAGTCTCCTAACTGTTTGAGAAAAAAAAAGGTTTTTTTTGGTAGAGTCAGTGTTAGGGCAGGGAGATGTTATCAGAAGGATGACAGTGTGATCTCACAGAGAAATGCCGGGCCCTCGGATGTATGGAAACTGCTGTCTGCTTGGTGTCTGCCGGGCCCGATCACATCCTAGACAGGGACAACCTAAAATGACCTGGACTCTGTAGGAATAGCAAGTTCTGCGGCTCAGCTGCTGTGTAAGTTGCAAACCTTTGGAATCTCTAATTTCCAGTTTTCCTTAGACACGTTGGAAAAATCCCCTGGCCCCAGTCCTCTTCCTTGTCACTTTGGGAAGGTGGTTGGGAGAGTAACTCATCAAAGTAGCAAAGCGCTTCTATGCTTCTCCTAGCCACCTTCCGCTCTCTCCTCTCCCCCAGCTCAGAGCCCCTGGAAGGCGTGCGGGAAACCCAGTCAGGCCGGGTCGTGCCCGACTCGTGCGCTGGCTCCATACCCCGTCCAGTGCCGTCCTCACCTTCTCTCGGAGCTGGAACAGGAGCTGTTACAAAGGCCTTTTTGAGCTTCTAGACCTGGGCCTTCAGAATCCTGGTTGCTCAGCAGAAAGTGTTTCTCCAAATATTTTTCCTAATTTGGCAGGAAAAATTTAAAAACATTCTTTGGGCATTAAAAAAAATGCTTTCTGCCCTCAAAAAGCGACATCAGTCTCAAGCTGTCATCTTAGATGTTGCTCTTGCCCTGTCTCGGTTTTCAGCCTTTTCTGTTGTGTCGATTAACCAGGTGCTGAGGTCATCAGGCCCAGACAACAAATAACCCATCTGCAGTTTCTCCAGTCAGACATCTGCAGGAACTGTGAAGATTAGGGAGCAAATAGGCTCTGGACGCACTGGCCCAGTATAGAGCAGCCAATGGGGACCCATCACCAATGTCTCTCTGTAGGCCTGAAGTATGCATCAGTTCGGGAGCCAGCCCTGCCCAGTTTGTTCTCAGGACCACTTCACGAGTGTGACTACGTTTTCTAGGTAGCTTTAGTTGATGCTCTCACCTGGTACAATTTGCCCTCCAGTGCAGATGCTTTGGTTGTTACAGCTTTGGAGGGCTTGCTTGGAGACTTGCTGTTGGTAGCTAGTGGGTATTGCTGAACATCCTACAACTTCCAGGTTTCCCTGCCCCATAACAAAGAGTTATCCAGTTCAAAATGACAATTGCATTGAGATTGAGGAATCTTGTTGTAGGTCTGAGTTAGAACTGTTCACCATCAATTGTCTTGTGTTTGGGGCACGGGGAAACAGCTCCTGATAGCACGTACAGATAGAGCTGGTTGCACATTGGTGGAAGTGGGCTCAGGCGGAGAGAGAGGAAGTTAGGACCCTGTCACTAACACAGGGCTCTTAAAGAATGGGTACACACGAGAAGAGGCAGCAGGTAAATACATTTGTATGGGACTTAGCAAGGAACGTTTTTAAAACTCAGTCAAAGACCTTACTGGAAATACAATCGAAATGGAGTTGAAAAGGCAAATGCCCAAAGATCAAGAGCTTTGGAATAAAAGCCTCATATATTAGCATTAAAAACCCTAAAAGGAGTGGAGAGAACTGTAGTGTTAACCATCATGCTGGTTGCCCTGTGGCTAGGCGCGGCTGGGTGTCCAGGAAAGAGTGTGCTGCTCCTGCCACTCTCACACCGTCCAGGGCCCAAGTTGGGACAGTGTGTGTGCAAAGGGGACGGAGCACGATTCCTTCCAGCACCTCGAATGTCTGTCAGGAGCAAGTCGCTCACTTACATGGGGGACGGAGGACTGTGAGCCAGGTCGACTTCTTTGAATAAGCACAAGGGGAAAGACTGCATTGCAGGAAAGGGCTGGGTCCCTAAAATCCACCTCTGGCATGGTGGTGAGTCATAGGCTGGAGAGCCCATGGGAATAGGTCCAAACCTCAGCCCTGGACTTTGCCTGCTGGGTAACCCTGGGACTGAAAAGCAGCTGATTGAGTACAAATGCTCGCATTTCCCATGTTCTGCTGTAACTGAGACACACACCCTTTCTCCAATAGTTCCTGGCCCGACTCTGGAAACTTTTGTGGGTGCTGACATTCACACCATCCTTATCACCAACCTCCTCAGTGGAATGGACTACAGCGTGAAGATCTTCGCCTCCCAGGCCAAGGGCTTCAGCGACGCCCTGACGGGCCTGGTGAAAACACGTAAGACTGACGTCCCTGCTCAGCCCAGCGTGGCCCTGCTGCTTGGGTTTCTCTGTGACTTGGAACTCAAGGCTGCTTCAGTGCTGCCTGGCATTTCTTTTTCTGGATGGTGTTTCGTGGAAAGAAAGGTGTGCCCTTTCCTCAGGGGACTTTGGAGTCCTAGTTGGCAGGCTGTGTGTCAGCACCTGGCTTTCCAATAGGCTTGATGACTGCAGATAGAATTTTCTCCTGGAAAGTCTGGGTTGGCATTTTTCAAATTAGGTGAAATTTTCCAAACAGCTGGTAGCCTGACAGTCAATGCCAGTCCAAGTTGGGCCGAAGAGAAATTTGAGTTTCTTAAAGCCATTGTTCCCTCCACACACACACACACACCATCTGTTAAAGTGCACACCATACTCTCAGAACATCTTTCTCTTCCCTTTTATGGGGTTTCTTGCTGTCTGGGCACCATCTGGGATACCTCATTGGCACACAGCTTCCAGAAACCCATGAACTGATGTGACGTTTTCCAAACCCCAGCATGTATGTTCTGTATTCCTGAAGTTTGTTATATGGCCACACCATCTGTTTAATATATTTCTTTAAATAGACTTTCCATGAAACACCATCCAGAAGGAGCAACGTGGAGGAAAAGCAAAACCAGGCACACATGAAATCTAAATACTTTTGAAATCCCACATAATTACCCTAAACAGAAAATCAGTATTTTTATTGCATAATCAAGATAACACATGGGCTGGGGATTTAGCTCTGTGGTTCCGCCACCTGCCTTACAAGCACAAGGTCCCGAGTTCGATCCCTGGTACCAAAAAAAAGATAATACACGAATGACCAAAATAAAAATGGCTCAGCCCTGTGCTCATTAAAATAACCCTGAGTGCTACCAGGAGGAAGATGGTCAGGGCACGATCAGGCGAATAAGCTGTGCACTCCTGGTTGGCCAGGTTCCCTCTACCCTGGAATGAAGACAGTGAGCACCTTAGGCTTGATTGTGAAGAGTGAGGAGACAGTGAGAGCAGAGTGCCCGCTGTGCCGAGCACTCAGCGCATAGCCACCATTGTTAGTGTCACAAACACGCTTCATGCCCGTGGCTCATGCCTCACTTCCATCCCCAGTCGAATCACAAGTCTGGCAAACCAGAGCAGGGGCTCTGTTAAATGGGACCCTGGTCACCCTGGGTTTCATAGAGCCCCAGTCCTTTTACAAAGGAGTCTTCCTAAATTTTCTTTTGTGGAGTATTTTGAGGTTAGAAGCTGGATACCGAATATGTTCCGTCTCAGAAGAGATGCTCTGTGTATTTGCAGATCTGGGGAGCCTCCGGCCTGGTCTGATCTTGTCTTTGGCCGTTTGTGCCCTGTTTGGGCTTCTCTGCTCCTCTCTGTGCCATTGGAGCCCCCACAGCCCGGCCCCCGCCTTTCTGTCCCCTCTCCTGCTTGCGTTTGGCTTTGTTTTCCTTTCTGCGTTGCTTTCTCTGCCTGTGCCCCTTCTTCTGTCTCCAGGAGGATTTTTCCCTTATCAGAATCTCTCCTTATTCTCTCCCGTCCTTCTATCCTTTTCCTGACTCCTGCTTTCTTCTTTTCCCTCCTTTAGCATGTTGAGGGTTCCAAACCTATTGTAAAAGACAGAAAGTCTTCAATTGTTTTATACTCATGTCCTTAAAGTAAAACTTAACTGAGCTTGCTGTTTATTACCTCTGTTTCTCCTAGGCAAAATAAAACCTCACGTAATGAAAATAAGTTAATTTAAAATGTTTTTTAAAAAATTTAGTGTAGTTATAGAAACCATTATTAATTTCCTTTTGCTGTGCAGAGAGAGTAATTTAATTGGGCTGTTGGAAAAAAGTCTTCCCTTTCTATTCTAATGGAAAGGAATAATATAAAGATATAAATTATGATTAGATATGTGTGTTTCACCATCTTGCAAAAATAATTAAAAGGTCATTTTATTTTATGAGTTAGCTAAAAAAGAAGTAAGAGATAATTATATGAGTGGGAGCCAGGGATCATTAGGGAGGGTAAATACTAATTTTCTGCTTTTTCCTGTTTGGATCTAAAGGGGAACACCAGACAGATTACTCCTTTATGTCCTGGGAAGGAATATTTTTATTGCTTCCCAAAATAATCATTTTCACATATCATGTTCTAAGACTACATTTTTGGAGAATTTGCATTATATGTGCAAATTCTATCATTTTAACCTTTTCAGAAATATGATCTCATTTAATAATATTTTGTTTAGTTTTTACTTTTGGTTGGTAAATAATTTTATAGATTTATGTGGTATTGTGTGATGTTTCCATACTTGCATACACTACAAAATGACCAAATCAGGGTAATTAGCATCTTTCACTTAAACACTCATTCTTTCCTTGTGTTGAGAACATTCAGAGCCCTCTCATCTGGCACTGTGCCCTAATTAACTACAGCTGCCCTACTGTGCAATCAAACACTGCCAGTGGCTCCTTCTAGCTCACTGTCACCGACGACCGCTTGGCCAGCCTCTCCCCATCGGCCCCGGCACCCACCCTTCTACTCCCCACTTCTGCAAGTCAACTTTGTTAGAATCCCAGTGGAATACTACGCAGCCATGACAGATAAAATGCTACCATTTGTGGTAATTTGGGTGATCTTGGAAGACCTTATTATGCTAAGTGAAATGTCAGGCATAGAAGGACAAGTACCATTTGGCTTAGTTGAATTTTGAAGGGCAGTCCTTGTGAATCTACCTGTTTGTGTCTCCTTCCATTCACCATCCATTGCATCTGGTATTTTTCCTGTGAGCATATGTTTCCCTTTCCATTTAAAAATCCAGACAGTGGGCCGGGGATTTAGCTCAGTGGTTTCGCCACCTGCTGCGCAAATGCAAGGAGCCGAGTTTGATCCCCAGTACCAAAACAAAACAAAAAAAAATCCAGACAGATGACGTCATACATAATGTCTTGCAAATTATTTTCTCATCATCCAAAATTATCTTCTGCGCACCAACTTATCATGAGTTGAAGGGTTTTTTACCTCTGAGTACAGAGAGTTGAATGATGTTGCCATAAATTATTTTCAGGTGTAGGGAGGTTTGTGGCATTGTCTATGGCGTGACACAGCATGTCTGTCTCATTGCAGTGTTCTTGGGTGTGACTGAGCTCCAAGCCCACCAGGTGGAAATGACCAGCTTGTGTGCTCAGTGGCAAGTGCATCGCCATGCCACAGCCTACAGGATCGTCGTAGAAAACATCCAGGGTAAGAACGTCACCTGCGCTTTGTCCAGCCCTCGTGTGCTTGCTTCTTTCCACATCACTGGGCAGTACACGGGCGCTGTTAGACCAGAGCCCTCCTTTGGAGTGACCCTAACCTCTCCAGAGCTCCTCTTTGCAGTCTGCTAATCTCTGTGGCCGTAGTGCTGATTTTTAGGGTTTTGTGAGGGTCAGGCTTAGGGGAGGAGCCCCATAACCAAGACGAACACTGCACGATGCTGAAGTTGGGTGTTCGCCCCAGGGGAATCGGTGTGACTTGAGTGTTTTTCTTAGGGTTTCATGTTCTGTTGAGTGGGGAGTGGATGATAAACTCTTTCCAGAGGAGGTGCTGTGTATGCACATTATTGTGAACAAGGTCTTCACGTTACAGCCTCGAGTACGCCATGACTTGAAGCTTTGTTCCAAAGTGAAACACTAAAATCTCTCTTCCTCCTCATCAAAACTATCAAAAACAACAAAAGTCTGATTCCCCAAAAATGAGTATCTAAGACCTAGTCATCTTCTTGTCACACTATGAGTGTGGACAGTATTCAAAAACTGAAATAAAACAATAAAGGTACTTTAATGCCATGTGTACAAACAGTGGAAGAGATACACTTTTTACTTGGTGGGGGATCGCAGGAGACAGTGGAGAATCTCAAAGGAAAACAAATTTTTATGTTCAAACTTGATAGCAAAGCTGTTAAAAATGTAACTTTTTCTTTCCCAGCAAATGATATTGGTTTCCTCCACTTAAAAAGAAAGCAGGAGTCAATTTGTTGAAATCCAGATAGGACTGGGGCTGCCATCGCATATCTTTGGGTGTATCTGTATTCAAAATCCACAAACCCCATTTTTGATGCAATCCATAAAGTGGGAAGCATAATTTGGGAGAGCACTGAGACCATGTGCATGTATGGCCCTATAGAATATGAACCAAAGTAGGAGGATCGTTCTAGAATGTCCCGCCAGTCCTGTCAAGATCTTGTCTGGTGTCCATCTACCTCAGTGACGTCACTTCCTTGGTTCCCTGTGATGATTTAACTGTGACATGAGCTAGATGCATGGGAATGGCCTAATATGGAGAGAACAGTAAGGAAAAGAAAATCAGGACATGATAGGAGAATATTGTGGTTGTGTTAAGTATACTTATGGCATCTTAATTGAACTAGATGAAAAATATATGACTATTTGTGAAACAACTACACAATCTTGAATTATATTTTATATATCTTTAAGTCACACTTTAATATAGAAGGGTTGACATTTAGTAGTATTTGTTAGGTTTTAAAAAATACTAAGTATGAAAATTACACTCTTAAACGATCCCATAATATTTTTGTTCATTTATATCATTTAAGAAATTTCAATGAAAGAATCAAGCTCCTGTGGCTATTCATTGCCTTTCATAAAGATTAGAATTGTATAGATTGGCAAAAGGATGTGTTAAAAGTAGCTTGTTCAGTGGAATTAGTAGGATCTGATCATTCAGTGATTTGACAGTGGCATTGTCTATCAGAGGACATGATTAATATATCTGATAACATTGATCTAATAGTCTAAAACCACAATAAGTCCTTCTGAAGCCAAGATCTTTACTGGCCAAAACATGAGGCCATATATTGTCATAGCTACTTTCCTGTTGCAGAGACACAGTACCCAACACCCACAACCCAGAGGAGCACAGGTTTTTGGGCTCACGGTTCCAGTGGGTTCAGTCCAAGGTCAGCTGGCTCTGAGGCAGAAGTGCATGGTGGGAGGGTGTGGACGAGGCAGCTGCACCTCCATGGCAGCCAGGAAGCAGAGAGACAAGGAGGAGCAGGGACAAGAGCACACTTTTCTAGGTCATGTCCCCAGTGACCGCCTACAAACAGACCCCACCTGCCAACAGTGCATTCAGCCATGGACTCATCAGTGGATTTGGTGCCCCATGATCCAATCACCTTCCAAACATGTGAGATTTGGGGGGACATGTCATGCCTAAACCATAACACACATGCATACACATCCATAATCATGACATAGTCTTCTGGTGAAGTTAGTTTGTATTCTCTGCATCTTGTTAGCTGCCAGAAATCTCTAAGCTGAGCCTCTATAGTCTCAGTGAAATAAGAATGAATGTACAGGAGTGTTGTTCCATTTGCTTCTTATCAACGCTTCTAGCTGAGAAAGATTAGTGAGAAAAGTTAATCTACATCTTGTTCGCCCAGTCGTCTGGCTAAACAGCATTTCTCAGCAACAGACCCTGCCTGAGGGTTCAAAGAGGAGCGTATGGTGGTGGAAAGAATGGAGTGGTGCAGTGGGGAACGTGCGGAGGTGCTTTCACTTACACAATTTAGATCAAGGCCTGGTCTTTCAGCTTTGGAGCAAGGAAGAGTTAGGTCGAGCCTCTTTATCTTAGAGAAACACAGCCCCCATTCTGACTCAGTCTTTCCCATAGCAGAGTCACAATACCCAAGACCCACAACCTAAAGGCACACAGGTTTATCTGGCTCACAGTTCTGGTGGGTTCAGTCCAAGGTCAGCAGGCTCCGAGGCAGAAATGCATGGTGGGAGTCTCTGAAGGACTGGTGGGAAGGCTCTTGTTTTACCACGGCTCTGGAGTTCTGACTCTGTGACATATTCCACGGGGTCATGTGTCCTGCAAACACTGAGACACTGCCATCCTTCCAACCCAGCCAGAGGAGACGCCAGGGAGAATGGGACCCAGTTCCTCCGTGTGCCAGATGAACACTTTCGCCAGGTTGATCTGATTCTGAATGCCTATGCTACATTCCTATGGTTGCTCAGGTGGTGTTTGTCCTTGTCTATTTCCCGTGGCCTGACCATGCACACTTTTGTATGGACCAGAAGTCAGCAGATAGTCTCTGCTGGAGCCATGACTGCAGGTCAACTTTCTTCTCTGGGTTTCAGTTTCTCTAAAGTCACTTCATGTGCCATTGTTAAGGGAGGTAATTAACCTGCACATTTCCCAGGCTTTTGTAGGTGAAGTGTTCTAGCCGAGTCATGCAAGTTTGTTTATTGCATGTCTAGAAAACCGGATGAAAGGAACTTAAGCAAAAGGTCCGTTTACTGGCTCACATTCTGAGAAGCCTAGATCCGCCTTTAGGCTCATCTGGATCTAGGTATTCTGGCGATGTCGTTAAAATGAAGTCTGGCTCCACCCTGCTCAGCTGGCCTCTGTGAGCAGCCTCAGTCAGATCCAGAATGACACTGTCCAGCTTCCAGATTCCCAGCCACAGCAAAAACAGAACTTCCCAGCAGGAGTCCAGGCACTGAGTCATGCGGGCCAATTTGAGTCACATGCCCCTAAATCTGTCCCTGAGCTCGCAGGCATGCGATAAACTGCCGGTTGGACCTGGCTGCTTCCACCTTGGGCCTAGTGGTGGCAGTGAGAGGAGTGGGTGGTGTTCTTTCCCCTCCAGATCATAAAGACCAAGAGCAAGGAGGATGAGACCCAAAGGCAGAGGGACTGGATGTAGGACCGGCCAAGACAACAGATGTCTTCTATTTCTGTAAACATTACGACATTTTTATGGCAAAGAGGAAAGAGAAAAAGATTACCAGAAGGACAAGGTCCTCTTAGGAGAGACTGAAGTCAAATCTGCCAGCCACCTTCTTGCCAAAATCTGTGATGGGTTTTTGGTTAATTCTAGGGAGGACCAAAGCAAGAGGCTTTCGGGTGGTCTTGGTAACTCGGACCTGGTGAGAGTGCTGGTTAGTTCCAGGAGAGCTCTGGGTTTCTGCCCCTCTTCTGTCGTTATTTCGTTGACTCAGAACCTGAGATTGGATATAGGGTTCCCTTCAGGTCCATGTGTTTATGTGCCACAAGGACCCTGACGTGTGTCTCTCTCTAATCCCGTAGCTTGGTGAACTTCCAGCCTGCATAGAGCAGAGTTCAGGGGACGCTGTAATTGTCCTCTCTGTGCAGGTGTTGAAATGTTATTTTGCAGTAGCATCCATTAACAACTGCAGTAGACAATTGCAGCGTATTTTAGAGCCAACCTTATCAAATACCAGAAAAAAGATCACAAGACCTCTTCCCCAAATTAACTTCTGAAGTAGTGTCATTATGATTGAGGGTCAGAATACTGGCGGGACCTGGGGAATAGAAGTATTTACGTCATAAAATTCAAGCTGAGTTGCTACCTAGATCCTGAATACCTTGCTCATGGTTTTCAGGAACTGTCACAGCACATTTTGGGGTGGTGGGTTGGTGGCATTATCATCAACATGACTATAATCCAGAGAATGTAATTTTAGCTTGGCTTCCTAGCATAGGAATGAATGCACAAATGAAGACAGAAGTTTTCCTGTTCCAAAAAATAACTTTCTGTTCTTGGCATAAAGGGTTGAAGAAATTAGTCATCATTTGATCAGTTTAAGTTTTGTTTTCTTTAAGGCGAAGCCATGGGACTTGAATGTCACATGCCAAAAGCAACAGGATATACCCCTCCATGCAGCCCTCTCTGTTAGTATTGGGAATTGAATGAATACCATTTGCCATTAATTTTACAGCTCCTGCTCCAGTTTTCCAATGGTTATGGACATTATTTTTAAAAGTAAGATCCATTAATGTTCTATTTTCAAGGATCTTTCTTCAAAGTGTATGGATAGCCACAAGAAGTAAGAAATGCCAGAAAAGTGCATTTCTAGAATGGAGTCCCAGGAAAGCAGTGTGGACATAGCTCAGTGTAATCCATGCACAGGATTTGGGAAATGTCTGGGTAAGGGTGGCTCACAAAGACTCCCACCAGGCTGGAAAGAGTGGCCAAGGGCCAGAAAGAGACAGTTACTGTGGGGTCCTCACCCTGGGGCCACAGACTGAACTTGGACATCAGCCAAGCGGAAGGCAGGATTAACTAAATTTACTTACTATCAAACTTCCTTCATAGAACATATAACCTCACAAATACTTTACCAATTTTTATTTTATCATTTTATATAATACATAAAAAATGATTGTAGAAAATACTTCATTGTGAACAAATGTACTAATAAAGATCACATTGTGAAGTTTACTTCTGAAATCTTTTACTATTCGCAGTATATAAAAATAAATTTCAATTTTATTTTCCATATGATTTTAATTTAGTTATATTTTTGGTGTTTTTTTTTTTTTTTGGTACCGGGGATCGAACTTGAGTCCTTGTGCTTGTGCAGCAGGCGGTGAAACCACTGTGCTAAATCCCAGGCCAATTTAGTTATATTTTTAAAGGTCAGGATTTTTCCATGGCCAAATGATATGTATGTTAATTCTGATATATACATACTGAAATATAGATGTGTTGTTCTAATATGTATATTAAAATATAGAATGAAATGTGTCTAAATTTTATACTTTCTAAACGGACAAAAATTATTGGATATTTTAACGGTTTACACTTTTAAAAGCAACTGGCCTGAATTTACATTTCATGTACATGGTTTATTTCTAATAAACTCTTCTGCAGATAACATTTTTGAAGAGTGGATGGTTCTTTTTAACCATTAAATAAAATGTGTAATGTATTTAATTAATGGAGTTCTTAATAGTAGATTTTAAATTTCTAGAAATTAAGCTTTATAAAGCTTTGACTAAACAGATGCCATTTAGGAGAAAATTAATCTAGAAGGAAATTTGAATAGTTGTTCTTTTCGTGGTACCATGATTCATCTTTTTACCACAGACACTGTGGTAAAAATAAATGCTCTGTGCCCAGGTGGAAACCCACTAGGAACTTCTTCCTAATTAATATCAGAGTAGGCCATGTCTGATGGAGTGATAGAGCACTTACATATTTAATTTGTTATTTTATGATACACGAGTGGCAATGAAAGCAAACTCCTCTTAGATTGGGTGTTAGCATTCTGAATTTAAACCTTAGTTCTGCTACTGAGTTATGGACTTGCGAATCCCTAGCTCTCTTGGTCTTCAATTTCTTATATTTAGATTGTGGATAATTATAAATGTTACAGGGGTAAATGAGCTAAGACAAAATCCTCAGACTGTTGCCTGGCCCATGACCAGCACTTGTTACCTGTGCATCATCGCTATCTCTGTGATGGTTGTCAATATTAAACACAAAGCGCAGGACCTGCAGATAGTAAGCCCCAGGAAACGGTGAGTGTAATCAGTCCAACCTCATCTGACTCCACCTGTGAGAGCCAGGGCTGATTCTCCCAGCAGGAGCGCAGCAGTTCTGGATGGATGTGGGAATGAAGAAAGAGGTCAGCAGTTCTTTGTGCCACTGTGGAGAAGACAGAGAGAGCACCATGACGGGAGTTGGCTGTGTGTGACACGGCTCTTCTGTAGAGCAAAAGGACCTGGAAACCAAGAGCACGAATGGCCACTTTCACACTGTGTCCCGTTTCCTGCTCTGTGAGTTTAAAGAGCAGAAAAGAGCGCATCCTGGGTGTCGGGAGAGGGTCTTAGAGTTCCCTAAGAGTCTCTTTGTGATGTTGACAAATCATGAGTGTCAGCTGAAAAACAAGGCTCAGGAAGAGGAAATGGGGCGCCTGGGGCTCCCTGCCTGCATTTGTGGCAGCTTTGAGCAATCTGGACCTGAGGATGAGGCTCATGAGACCCTGCAGACCCTCCTAGACTGAAGGCACGCAGACTGCCCAGAGCCTGCCTACCTAGGGGTCTCTAACTCGGCACCCGGATCTTAGACCCCTGGCTAGAAGGGTGGCCCATGGTCAATAGTAATTTCTGTGAAATGAAAAGTATCTGTCCTTTTCTGTCATTCTGTAATCACGTGCTGAAGAATCATGTTGAATAATTGGGAGTTCACGTTTTTAAAAAATAAAGATACAATCACACCTGTGCATGGGCCAATTGAGATTGTGCATGTAATTGTGTGCGTTAATAGTTCTTCACTCAGAAATGTGACCTTGGGATTCTTAATAGTAAGTTTTATTTTTATACATATAGAATGTGATTTTTAACAAAAAACAATCAGTGGATCTATTATGTCTTTAGAAAAATACACTTCATACAGGATAATTCATTCTGGAGTCATCTGATGGAAACCATGCATATTATGCATTTTAGAAGCGAGTCACATACCAATGATTTCTTTCAAAACTTTTGTATGTCTGTTTCATTTTTGTTATAGATACACAAAAGCAAGAATCCACTGTGGGAGGAGGGACAAACAGACACTGTTTCTATGGACTTCAGCCTGATTCCGAGTATAAAATCAGCATTTACACCAAGCTGCAGGAGCTGGAGGGGCCGAGTGTGAGCATAGTCGAGAAAACACGTAAGTAGAGGGTCCTCTCTCTGGTCCCCTGGACATGAGCAGCAGGCATTTCGGGCATCTGTTTTGGATCTAAAACTTCATTCTGTTTAGAAAAGTATCAGCGATTGCCACCTGCGAATGTGCAGGGCAAGTGTTGGTCTTCTGATCCCATCCCAGAGTTCCTTACACGCAGCCCGCTGAAGTTGTGAGGATGGGGTTTCCCACTCTCCACACATGTTTCACAAGGGGCCCCAAGGTCACGTGATGCAGGGGGCTGGAAACAATGGCCTGCACTGTGAACCTGATCCATCAGGACAGACTGGTATGTGGGGGCGCACTGGAGTTGGAGGCCTGGGTCTCGACCTTCGGGCAGTGTAGCAGCCAGGGGAGGGGAGCTGAGAAGTCCAACCGGCTGGCCCTGGAGCTGCTGCCTACTCAGGGACTCTTGTGCTTTCCCAAGCTGGCGGCAGACCTCATTCCCTGAAGGCAAAGACAAAGTATAAAATGGAAACAAGGCGCTTTCTGCATGTTCCAGAGAGCAAGGAAGGTGTCCGCCAATTCATGGAAGGGCTTTTAATCAAGAATCCCTGACCTGGAGGCCACGAGCATGAAAGTGGTTTCTATCTCAGTGAATTCTGGGGGACATTTGTGTGTTTAACTCTGCATGTGGAATTTAACCTTGAAATCGCTGAGGATTTACGGGTTTTGGTTTTTGTTTTGGTACCAGGGATCGAACTCGGGACCTTGCGCTTTTGAGGCAGGCGCCAGAACCACTGAGCTAAATCCCCAGCCCAAGGATTTATGTTTGAATGGGCAGGGGCTTTCTTCGTAGTCCTTCTGTCGTGTATATGGCATTTAAGAAGGACAAGTCCCACGTGTAGATGTTTCAGCCTTTCTGGCTCATGCAGAAAGAAGTCATCATCGGCAGAGGGCAAAGCTGCGCATGGTGCCACAGGCTTATAAACCCAGTGCTCTGGGAGGCTGAGACAGGAGGATCACAAATTGGAGCCCAGTCTGGGCAACTTAGTAACTTAGCAACTCCTTGTCTCAAAATAAACAAATAAAAAGGCCTGGGGATGTGGCTCAGTGCAAAGGCCCTCGGTTCAATCCCCAGTACTGAAAAAAAAAGTGAAAATATATTGCATGATTTATCTAATTTCTTATAAAGATTTTTATTTCCTAACACTGACATACTCAAAATTTTATATTACACATACATTTTGGAGGTACAGTTTATAAGCCATAAAGTGAAAGTGCAGGTTAAGTATACAATTCAGTGACTTTTTTAGTACATTTATAGAGTCTGGTTGCCATCAGCAGAATCCAATTTTAGGTTCCTATCCACCCAAAGAAATCTTTCCTGCCCGTACACAGCCTGTCTCCTTCCTCACCCCCATCTCCAGGCAGTCTACTTTGTTTATTATATATATGCCTTTGAGGACATTTAACACAAGTGGAAATCCACAACAGGTAGTCTTTTGGACCTGGGTTATTTCACCTAGCACATGCCTTTGCAGGTTATCCACACTGTAGAATTTATCCACTTATTTCCCTCTGTGGTAGATTAGAATCTTGTTTTATGGAGTCACATCCTATGCTGGTGAAGTTAAGAAGACTTTGGTAGTGTGTAAGATTTAGGGTCCAATCGTTAGGTGTGCTTGGGCTTGTCGTTGTGTTGGTTTTAAGCACTGTGACCTTCTGCCATTCAACACCTCCGAGCTTCTTTCTGCTCAGCAATAAAATTAAAGCTCTGCTTTAATTAGGAAAGGCGTAGTTGTTGGGTAACTTTGCAACCTGTATCTCGCTGAGCAAGTACCTGTTGTCCTCATGGTGGCCACAAGGCTAGATCTCACTATCGGACATGTTTTCTCTGGGCTTTGCTTTTTTTTTAAATTTTAAAATATTTTTTTGAAAATCCAGAGCATCTTGCAACACAGAGCCATGTATCCTCCTGGTGCCAATCTGCTGGAACCAATTAACTGCGAGCTCTTTGGCCAGCGTCTGCACTCTCGAGTTTGTAGGCTACATTCTTTGTTCATAGTCGTTGCTTGCCTGACCTCTACAAACATTCTGGTTTATGACCCCGTATCTACTTCAGGATCTCCTAGCTCGAGTCCCACAACTGTTAATTAACTATCACCCTAGGGTTAACTCCAGTTGGGACAGCCTTGTCTGGGGTAAATGTTTTCCTGATGTTGGAGACATCTGCCTTCTCGTGGCTTCCACCCACTGGCTCTGGTCCAATCCGTGAAGCAACCCAGTCCAAGACCGTTCCTTTGACTGTGACAGCCCTCACTCACTTGAACGTGGGGACATCTGCATGCCATATCGGGAAGATAAACATCTGCTCCAGGGCAGCATGCTCTTCTTAGCTGAGAGTCTGAGGCCAGATGTTCAGTGCAGACATCCTGATCTGCTGCCATAGCCCCTCACTGATTGTGCTCTTGAGTTATTGGCTGCCTTTGGGACATTCCTCACCCTTCAACATTGGGGAAGATGATGCAGTATTTCCACTGATTTTAAGTTGAATAAATCTGGTTTCGAAAGCATTTTGCAGTGCTTTCAAGAAAAAAATTTGCAATCCTAGTTTTAGTACTAAGATCCCTCAGTTGTTTTTACTCTTGGAACTTTTTAGCTTAAAAAAAAAAAAATCACCTTTAAAAAGGTGATGCCTGCGTCCATACAGCATAGCAGAAGTATGTAACAGTGTATAGACGCTTTACTGATCTCCACGTTTTCCCATTCTTCCTTTCCAGAAATCCCCATTTCTGCCACTGAGGTTTCCTTCCAGAAATTCTATCACTTTTTCACAAGTGGGGTCATCACTTGGTATCCTGTGAACTGCTTTATTTCACTTAAAAAGTAGCCTTGGGGGGGCTGGGGATTTAGCTCAGTGGTTCCACTGCTTGCCTCGAAAGCATAAGGACCCAAGTTCAATCTCCGGTACCAAAAAAAGTAGCCTTGGACATTTTTCTGTGGTAGTAATATACAGTTACTTCACTCTTTTAGTGTTGGATCACTTTATTTAAATAATGCTATTTTACTGGTTCTCAGAATTGAAAGATGCCTTCACATTGATCTCTTCTAATGCCCCTGTCTAATGAGGGAATTCCCTTTACAACATTTCAGGCAAGTGGTCTGTTCTGAACATGGATCCTTTGGTTGTGCATTGTTTACTCTTTCTTGAGCCTGACTTCTCCTTTGTGAACAGCTAGGATTGGCAGGGGGCTTCCCAGATTTCAAACTAGGATAGTGAAAACTTTCTCAGCTTTCCTTACATCTCTAGTGCCAAGGAGGAATAGAAAAAAACACATTGCCGGAGATTTAGGTCAGTGGTTCCACTGCCTGTCTTTCAAGTGTGAGGTCCTGAGTTCGATCCCTGGTACTGAAAAGAAAAGAAAAGAAAAGAACACATTGAGAAGTGATATTTTGTGGGTCTCCAGGCCCTTTCATCAGATGACACCTCTCCCATCCAGGCTGGAACGGTCTGGACACACTGCAGCTCACCAGAGCTTTAGATTCAGTCCTCAGAGTGGAAAGACATTTTCCAGCTGGGGGCTGTTCAGGACGGGGGATTCACACTCCCTTGGAACCAGCATCCGGGGTCCCATATGGTGGGGGCTGCTTTGGGAGAAAGATGGACAGGATGGTCAGGCCTTCGCTGGGCAGGGTGGGAATGAAGCTGATTGTGTGTGTGAAAGCAGCCGAGACCGAACGTGAAGGGGTTGGCGGGATTCCTGCCTCAGATCAACACGGGAGCCACTTTGTAGTTGACAGCTTGTGCAGATGCTGCAGGGAGAGCAGAATGGTGGCAAAACCATTTGGTCTGCAGAGGAGGAGGGATGGGCCAGTGTGCACAGACCAGCTGATTCACGGGAGTCATTGATTCTCCAAAGAAGGCACTTGTCAAGGACACCCCTAGACAACCACCCAGCAGCCCTCTGTTCCCTACACCAGAGATGACTCCCTGACCACCCCTCCCTTTCCTTCATAGGGTCCCGGCCTACTCAGCCACCGACGTCCCCTCCAACCATCCCACCTGCCAGAGAAGGTAAGGGGATAGCAATAATGATGCACTCCTCCGCTGAGGATTTCTTTGGGTTCTGTTGGTTTATTTATTTAAAACCAAGGTATTAATAAAAGATATTCTTGTGCTACCTCACTTTCTCCTTCCTATCAGTGCTTTAAAAGCTTTGATGTGATTTTCTTTAAAAATACCCATTTACTAATAAATTCTATATACAAAAGGGTGGATTTTTCCAACTGAATCTGTTTCATATTGATTTCATTGCAAATATCATAGTTTTCTCCAGGGAAGAAGAGTCATGCAATTTGCAAGTGAAAATTGGTCTGTCTTTCTGAAATCAAAGGCCGTGGCTTCCCGCTTGCCTCTGAAATCCACTGATCCCTCAGGACACAAATTCGATTTCATGACTCTGGATGAGAACCGAATCAAATTCAATGGTCAGGTTCAATGCTGAGCTTAAAGGGAAATTTGATTTGGTTCTTTTCCAGTTCAGTTTGTGATCAGAGTTGTGGAGAGAATTGCGTTTGGGCATCGAGGCCCAGGTTCCCTCTCCCAGCCTGTGCCCTCTTCGGAGCAGGTTCCCAGCACTGTTGACGGAGCTCTTAAGGGCATTTTTTAAAAAGCCTCTGGCCAGGCCTGGTGGTACATACCTATAACAGCAGCTACTCGGGAGGCTGAGGCAGGAGGATCCTAAGTGTGAGGCCAGCCTGGGCAGTATAACGAGACTCTATCTCATGAACTTTTTGAAAAGGGATGGTAGCATGGCACTGGAGATGTAGCTCAGTGGTAGAGAGTTTGGGGTTTGATTCTGATACTGCAAAGAAGGAAAAGCCTTTTAAAAAAGCACTGATCATTAATTTATTTAATTCCACTAGTGAACATTCATGAACCCAAATATGAATTCTCAAAGCTCTGACGCTAGGCCGGGGCCTGCAGTAATAATAGGTGGTTGCCACTCTGCTCATTTCTCTTGCAGATAATGAGCAGGCAGGGGTCGGGGTTGTGAGACAGAGAGTGTAGGATGCTATTCCGGGGGGGAGAATAATCACCGCTGCTGCTGCTGCTGCTGCTGTGCTCGAGTGGCCCAGAAAGGAGAGCTGGCCTGCATCTGCAGAGCTAGCCTGGCAGGCACGGTGGGCTGGGCGCTCTCGGCAGCACAGAGGGAACCGTGAGCGCTGGGGACCGGCGAGGCTTTAGCGTGGTGCAGGGAAGAGAGGGCAGAGGAGGACATGCAGGACGGCGAGTCCGGGCCCTGTCCCTCGGGCAACAGTGGCGATGAGAAGGTGGCAGGAACAGGAGGGGCGGTGCCCTGATGGAGCCCGGTTGGAGAACAGTATCTTTGGCGGAGTGGGGAGGAAGAGGGGCAGGAGGAGAGGGCAGGACAGCAGCTGGAGGCAGGACTAGAAGAGTTCTGTTCACCTCGCATCCCGAAGAGCCTGTCACCCCACAGGAGCCGAAAGTCAGTGGGGTCAGGTGCCACAGGAAGTAAGGGTCAGGATCAGAGGAAACGAGACACCAAGAAAGCCCAGCTCCCGCTGAAATCAGCGTACCCCTCCGCCCTTCAGCTCACTGCTCAGCATCTTTCCCCAGAAAACGGCAAAATCAAACAACCGCGAGCTCCCGAGCCGAGCCGAGCCGGTGCCATGCTGTCCCCAGCTTCTCACACTCCTCAGCTGGAGGCGAGTCTTCCTCCCAGGGCCCGAGCCAGCCTTCTGCAGGCTCCCTGTGAGCTTCTCACCGGACAGGGACACGGGCCCTGCACCGGCTCTGAGGGCGGCATCTCCTTGAGTAGGGAAGGCCGGTTTATCGGCAGCGCTTCGCGGATGCTCTTGGGAGGCGAGGTCGGGAGCATCCGCGGGAGAGGGTTAGGGACGCAGCAGGGCGCCGGTTTGAAGTTCTCTTGGTGATGGTTTTCACGGTGGGCGTTTGCAGCTAGACTGCACTGTTCGCTTCCAGCTGTGTGTCCTGAGTGCACTTAATCGAAAAGCCCGTAAAATTTTATTATTGAAGTCATACTCATTAAACACACATTAAAAAGTAAAAGAAAGTTTAAAGAAGAACATTAAAAATACAATTTCGTATCCCAAAGGTAACTTTTTCATGGATATTTTCTCTGATGCTTTAAATAAATGTTCTAATAATAAATTTTAAAATTGATTTTGCTCTCATTTTGAAGGTGAAACTTAGTTTTCTTTTCACCTTTTCTTGAAAACAAAGGATTTGTTTTTTAAAATACAATTAGTAGATCTTGTGATTCATTGCAGCATTATATTTAATCTACAAATTTGTAAAAGTCTATAAATCACAGAACTAATGAGAGGAACCTTAGCAGACACTCACTGTCCCGGGAGTGTTTTTCTCATTTGGAGAAGGTTTATTTTACATTGTAAATAGCTTCAGCAGAATGGGATTGTACTGAATGAAATAGAAACTGAGGTTTTTTAAAAGAAAGGAGGACATATTATCTCACAGAATATTTGTGTGCAACTTCCCTAAGATCAAAAGATTCTGATTACTGAAGACTAAATTGTTTTGCATCGTCATAAAACAGAATCGACCACGATGATCTCCAGGAACAGAAGGGTAGAGAGACAGTGCTAATCCAAAGCAGCCCTCGTGGCTGAAGAAGGGCCCTGAAAATGAGCTCTATTGGTATTTTGTAGGTTTATTTTTTGGCCTGTTGATTACGTCGCTATCTCTCACACACTCTGATAATGCTTTCCCTGTGCTAGCATTATTGTACTTTTCTTGACACATATCCACGGGTGGTGCAGGGTGTAAAAAGAATTTTTGAGCAATGTTGGGATCAAAATTCGAGTAGGGGCTTCCGTTCCAATGCACACTGAATCGCAGCCTCTCCCGCACCTCCTTTCTGAGCCTGAATCCCTCTGACGTTGGCTGACCAACTCAGTAAGCAAAAGTTGAGTCAGAGTGAGAGCTCGGACTTCCTTCCGGTCCATTGGCACCGGAGCGAATTCACTGATGCTTCGGTCTTGAAATCCCTTGGACATAAGAGAGAGATGGTGGTGAAGAAGCCTCGAGCCTTAACCGGTTTCATCCTGTGGCGATGAGCTATAGTTACCAGCGGCCCCCGTCCCAGGTCCCACCGGTTTGATAGCGACTGTGTTTTCCTTTCATCCTGATTCCAACTGTTCTTGTTGTCAGTGTGTAAAGCTGCCAGGGCAGACCTGGTGTTCATGGTGGACGGGTCCTTCAGCATTGGGGACGACAATTTCAACAAGATCATCAACTTCCTGTACAGCACCGTGGGAGCCCTGGGCAGGATTGGCGCAGATGGAACTCAAGTAAGGCTCATGGATCACTCGCTAATTCTGTGCGTTCGGAGTTGTTTCTCCAGTTCTAGGTCTGTCGGCTGTCAAGGGGCAGATGTGACAGGCTGTAAGGAGAGGGCGAGAATCCTCGAAAACCTTTGAGTTCAGCAAACTAAATAGGAAAGAAAGCCCAAGGCGGGATGTTTCTTTCATATACAGGGACAGAATGTCTCCTTTAACGACGCAGTGTTTTCCCTGCCCACGGGACAGAAAACTTTTGAAAGGCAGAGTTTATGGTCACACATTACTGCAGGTCAGGCACAACATGAGGCTAATTTCTTCACTCAACAAATGTTTATGGTTCACAGTTCTGAAAAATAAGCAAAAGGTAGTCAATGAAAAAGAGCACAGAAGATCCCCGTGAATAACAGCAAGTAATTGGAAATGATGCGAGGAAGGTTTATATTGTGCTGGTTAAGAGCACAGATTTTGAAACAGAATATACTTGACTTGAATTGTTATTTCTGTCCTAGATAAGCCGTTGGGATAGCGTGCAAGTTACTTATTTTCCTGTGCCTTGATTTGCTCATCTGCAAAATGGGTAGAAGAGTAAGAGTTACTTGATAAGTTGCTTCTTAAGGAAATTCTTGTAAGAAATCCAGAATGATTCTCTGACATGTGTCCGTGTAACAGGCTTTGGAAACCACTTACCACTTGTCAAGCATGGTGGTAAAAATCCCATGCTGTAGAGAGAGATTAAAACAAAAGCAAAAATTGACCCAGTTCCTGAAAAGTACTTAGAGAGATTGTACCATTTACTCTGTCTTCAAATTTGATGTGTGACTTGTATGACATCTTAATTCAGGGAGCACGTGGAATGGGTTAAGGAAGAAACTGAAAGTATAGGTGACAGCCACACTGCTGTGTGTGTTCTCTGTCCAGTGCAAGTGTACACGCGTGTAATGGTGCACACGCCTTCCTCTCCAGGTGGCGATCGTTCAGTTTACAGATGACCCCAGGACAGAATTCAAACTAAATGCTTACAAAACCAAAGAGACGCTTCTTGACTCCATTAAACGCATTTCCTACAAAGGGGGAAACACAAAAACAGGTAAGACCAAGATGAAATGACCATTTGGGGGGCATAATAATTTAAAAAAATATGTAAGAACTCTGTTCCCACTCTATTCCCTTTGGCAGGACAAAAATGGGAGGGCGTGAAATTGAAGTGTCGCCTGTGTTTGTTTCAGGAAAGGCAATGAAACATGTCCGGGACACCTTGTTCACCGCAGAGGCAGGAATGCGAAGAGGCGTTCCCAAGGTCATCGTGGTGATAACCGACGGCCGGTCGCAGGACGAGGTGGACAGCGTCTGCAGGGAGATGCAGGTGGACGGTGAGGTCCCAGCTCTGCAGTAGGGCTGTGGTAGCAGTGGTAACCTGTGGTCCACTAAATACAAATGTATAACGGGCTCCACCAGCATCACTCACCTTCCAAGGCCTTTTTAAAAAAACAAAACACACTGGAAATGTGATTTTAAAAATGCCCTGGCTTACAAAGCGGTAATTATACAGTTTTATTAGAGAGAATTTATAATTTTCTTGAATACTTTTGTTATGTGCAGGATGCCCTGGAACTATAATCATGAAGTTTAATACAATGAATAATTTAGGAGCAAAATAAAAAACAGATGATAGGAAATGGGGAGAGAGATTTTGTGGAGATGGAAAGGTGGGGAGGAGAAAAGGAAGTGGAAAGGACCAAGCTGTGCTATGAATGCATACTAGTAAAAAAATTTTAAAATGTAATACAATGAAAAGGACCATTATAAAGAGCCAGGGAGAGAATCTCATGTCAGAAACTTCTCCATCTCCTAAACTGTAAAACAGAGATTCTCCTAGGACTGTTGTGAAGATTAAGTTATATAAAATATAAAGTAGTAGTTTAATATTTATTTGCCAAGCTTTGAATGATGACTAGCTTGCTAGGCCTATCTTAGTTTCTACTTCTGAAACACAAAAAAGACAAACAAACTGAAATGAATGCTTCAACTAACTGTACCTTATCTTGTAAATGTTAAAATAACTCTTAAAAATATGCAACAATAAAGATGTTACTCAAATGGGAACTATTTTGTCTCCAGCATGAATTGGAGCCTTGGCCAAATTTCTTTAAAATGGAAACTTTCTTTAGGCGATGATAGAATAATGATCACAAAATGAATACACAAGTGCACTCCTCTGATGAACTGTAAAGAATGAATTAGCCACCCCCACTTGGCTGCCCTGAATAAACAGATTTTGAACATTTGCACATTTGAAAGCTTGTATGTGTGTTACTTGCATTTTGTGCAACTTAAAATAATCGAAAATCTGTTTCCCTCCTGCCACAGGCTACAGTATCTTTGCAGTCGGTGTGGCTGACGCAGATTACTCAGAGTTGCTCAGCATTGGCAGCAAGCCCAGCGCCCGCCACGTTTTCTTTGTGGATGACTTTGACGCCTTCAAGAAAATTGAAGATGAATTAATTACTTTTGTCTGTGAAGCTGCCTCCGCAAGTTAGTTCTTTGGGACGAGCACTTTCTCATGCTGTTTAAAGTCTGAAATACATAATATTGGTTAAGTAATGGGCCCCATCTTGAACTGAGGAAATAGTATTAACTTCCAGAGCTGCTTTGTTATGCACGCATTCGATTTTATGGTTTTGAGCAGATGGACTGAACCTGCCCTCCCCTCTGTTGAGGATTTTGGGCTGATAAAGATCTTGCACTGACAGATGAGAGTCTATTTTTAAAAGCCACTGAGTTTAAATAAATGCAGGAATTAGTCTTCAAAAATGTATTGAACCCACTCATCAGGGAACACATTAGAAATGAGACATTTCCCAGCACACTGTCTCAGTGGCGTCCGCGATTTCACTGGACCCAGGGGAGGAGAAGGTAGCTGTGGGCTCTTGGTTTAAAAAGGGCTGAGTAGAGTCTGTCAGTCTGCACAAAATCAGAGGAAACCCCAGCCACATGGTCTGGAGTGGCTCCAGGACTGACTTCCAGCAAGATGGCGTTTGTTTCCTGTGCTCTCAACAGAGAAAGAGGGTGTTCGAGAAATATCCAAGTCAGGATTTATGTTGTTTGTTTTGCTTTGCAGCCTGTCCAATGGTGCACAAGGATGGCACTGATGTTGCAGGTATGCATTATTGTGGCTTTTTCAATGACAGATGTATTAAATAAATCCCATTTGGAGTCCAGGCTTTTGTTTTTGGATTTTTAAATTTTATTTTAATTTAATTTTTGTTTTCTTTTTGGTACCAGGAATCAAACTCAGGGCCTTGTGCTTTTCAGGCAGGCACTGTGACACTGAGCTACATCCTTGGCCTTATTTTGTGGATTTTTTAAACCTTTATTTAAAATGTTTCAAATTTAGGGCTGGGGACTTAGCTCAGTGATTTTGCCGCCCGCTGCGCAAGTGCAAGGACCCAAGTTCGATCCCCAGTACCAAAAAAAAAAGTTTGAAATTTAATGTGCCTGCTTATTTCCTCCTCCTCCTCCTCCTCCTCCTCCTC